CCCTCCCTCCCCTTCTCTTTTGATGAAGACACACTATCACTTTTTTTAAAAAGAATATGTCTTTAATGATTTCAGAGAGAGGAAGAGAGAGGGACAGAAACATCCGTGATGAGAGTCATTGATCAGCTCCCTCCTGCACGCCCCCGACTGGGAATGGAGCCCGCAACCCTGCATGTGCCCTGACCGGGAATCGAACGGCGATCCCCTGGATCCAAGGCTGGCGCTCAACCGCTGAGCCACGCCCGGCCGGGCATCTCAGAATTCTTTCTAGACCCACAAACCCATAGATCTCTTCTCTTCCTCTGAACTTGCTCCCTTTGACGTTTGCTCTTTCTTCAGTGGAGCGCTGACCCTTACCATACCCCGCCTGCAGGACAAATAGCTGTTGTTTGTGTACGTATTGTTATTACCTTGTTGGAGTATAAGGTCTTCCAACAGGAGGAATTCACATTTCTCTGTATCTTCTAGTACAACCTACCACATGGTAGGCCCACAGTAAATCTGTATGAACGAAATATTTGATCAAATAGTTAACAGATTGGTTAACTCAGGCTAAAAAATATCATTTGAGAGCATTATTCAAATAGTTTGACAGTCTACATATAACCAGTTCCGTTTCATATTAACTGCCTACACTACACACAAATATGTATGATTAAGTATATCAGGGAAACCATATTTAAATCAAATAATTTTTTTAACTGTAAAAACAATGTTGACACAAATGGGTCATATCTTCTAGTTCCCTTATATGTTTTTTTCTCAGCATCCAGTACATTCCCAGGAAAAGATCAATAAATGCTGTGTGATTTTGAATGTATATCTATATTACTATGACTTTACAAATGTTTTACCATTGTTCCACAAATGTATTCTGACAGACCTCAACATCTCTTTTTACTAGTCTATTTTATTAACTAATTTGAAGTCAGAAAAAAATTAATTATTCCCAGCTAATGTAATAAAGTGAAAACAAAATATTTCTTTTCTGATAAGAAATCACTTTCAATACGTTACTAAAGTCTACTTCATTTTCTTTGGGGCCTATCTCCTGGTTTTTAGAGAGTTGCATGAATATGGCTGGTGAATCTAGAAGTTAAGTTTTACCAATTACACAATGTTTAACAATTTCAAAGTTTCTCTGGCACCTGGAATCAAAATTGAAATTCCAAATAGTATTTTCATACCTATTTCATACCATTATACTAATAGTTTCCCACACTCACCTTTCACAAGTGACAAACACACTGGTCTTGATATAGAGATTTCACCCTCTGGGACTTTGCCAAGCTATGAATATATATGACAGACAGGAACTTTGGATGCATTATTTCAAATACTTATGTCACAATTCCCTTGGGAGTTTTGTAATATTATGATAAAACAGAAACTCATACATAGCAAGACAATTGTCTTTTTACATAAGGCAGCTCTCTATCTAGCTTCAACTATTCCCTTACACCCAATAAAAAAAAATCCAGAGTGAACACAGAGCATGTTGTGCATTGTTTTAAGTAAGAGCCTGACCTTGCAGGTACTGGGTTCATAGTAAAGCAACACCAGCCTAGGGTAAAGGCAGTGATTGCACCAGGCCTCATGGTCCATCAGGGCTCCAGGCTTAACCTTCGCTCTTCAGCCCACCTAGTTCTAGAGAAGAACAATGATTAACATGTCAAAATCAAGGACTTTCCAGTATGGCAGTTTGCTGAGCTTAAGTCACAAGTTACTGCACAGCCATAAACTGGGCCCCAGCCACACCAAGCAAGTTTGTTCCATGCTAGTATTTTCCAAATTTATTGACAATGAAAGATTGTCAAAATTTTAGTGTTTATGTATATGCTTGGATGAAGATACATAATACAGAAATTACCTCACGTGCACCTTAAACTTACACAATGTTTTTTATATGTCTATTATATTTTTAAAAATCAAAAATTTAAAAAAGAAATGACCTGACAAATTATTTGAATTTTGCAAGAAATGATTAAAATTTGACCCATGGCTTTAAAAAAAACCCTACCATACCCAGGCTCTAATAACAATAAGAAAATTTAAAAATTAAAGCATCTTAATCCTAAAAGTAAAAAGAACAATATATAAAGTTAAACATTCATATTACAATTTTGTTAGAAAGCATGTCATATAAAAAAATCCCAACATTTAAAATCAGTAAACTGATTTCTTTTTTAATTACCAAGTATTTATTTAATATTAGGAATGGTATTCTTGCTTCAAACTTCAAATATATTTTGAAACTTTGTTTTTGTGGTATAAAAATTTGAAAATAAAAACCATTTTCACAACTCTTTACTTGAAGAGAAGAATATGAACATAATTTTTCCATCAGCAGGTATCTTGAATTCTACTAATTTGTATGTCCAGCCCAGATAGTGTTTTAAAACCCCACACCCCACAGCCAACTGCTTCTCCGGGGCTCCATTTGGATTTCTCATGGGAATTCCAAATTCTGCACGTCCCGGCTGAACTCGTCCGAGTGCCTTCACCCCGCGCCCTGCTTGCGGCAGCTCTGGGGCAGCTCCTCCAGGCAAACGGCACCTACAGCAGCTGGAGCCCGAACCCGGGGCTGGTTTTGAATTCCTCTTTACCTGCCCTGAAGCCTGCTCGGTCCCCAAGCCTTGTCACTTCTTGTATTTGCCAAAGAGCTCTCGCATCCATCTTCCTCCCCCTGCTCCCTTGGTCTGTTACACGTCTGGCGTCTGCTGACCTCTCACCACTCCTCCCACCTGTCCTCGGGTCATACTGAACCATGCTCAGGTCCCCAATGTGCGATTCACTTTCCTTCCAAGGCTCTGTCCACGCTGTTTCCTTGGCCTGGAGCACCGTCACCCGCGCGTTCACCTGGCTGCTGCCCACTCCTTCAGTCTCAACTCAGATGTTACCGTTTCCAGGGAACCTCTTCTGGCACCCCACATTCACTTCTATATCCTCTGGTACAACCTAGCACCTAGTAGGCCCAGTGAATATGCTCTGAGACACTTGATCAGCTAGATACCACACTGACTAGTTCAGGCTAAAAAGGGTCATTCTCCCTCTGTTCTTCCTCTGTGCTCCCAAACCTCCCTTTTTATTGTGTGTTTGTTTTAAAGGTCTTGTGACTTTTCTGGGCTCCTACCGGATCATTAGCAAGGACCTCTTTATTGTCTATCAAAACCTATTAGGTGTCATAAATATGAATGAATTAACATATAGTCCATCAGAATCCCTGAATCTATTTTCCCCCCCACATTCTTACAAAGACTTTCTTTCCTCAATGTGAACCTTTGAGGAAATTTCCCCCAAATTAATTACCCAGATTTTACTTAGTTTTATGGTTTAACCTCATATTTCTCTACCCTGACAAGATGATTCTTAATTTTAATTCAAGGCTCCCTCTGTGGGACTAAGAGCCACACTCTATTACATACTTTCAGTGAACCTGCTTTTAGATATCTAGTCTTATGCATAATACATTTAATTAAGGAAAATATCAGATAGTCCTAGGCCCTGTGCCATTCCTGGAGAACATCCCTCCATGTTGCTTCCCCTTGTAGGGAGGTTGTGCTCACACCTGGTCCTCTACTGACACTTGGATTTCTGGTTTCTTCTTGACTGCTGGCTTCTTCTATCTGACGCCTTGTAACTGGCCAGGGCTGAGATGTGCCTGCTGCTCGTGTGGCCTGTTCCCAGCACGCTCAGGTCAGAGCACGCAGCTGCTGTGGTCATACCTGCAGGCACAGAGTTGCTCCCCATCAACCCTCCCAGCTGATCTTAGAGCAGCCAGGTAAGGAAAGGCATTGACCATCTTCAAATCCTTTGCTATTTGTATTGGGTTGCCAATTTAATGACTTTTTTTCTCATAACTGATTTTCTCACCCTCTGGATAATGAGTGTGTTTTAAATGTACAGATTCACTATAATTTGAGCTTTTGGTAGTTTAATCAGTCTCTTTGCTGCATGTCAATCTCTTTTGAGAAAACACTAATTATATAAAATTTTTCTCTTCTTCCACTTACTCAGCTCCAAGACACTGTCATGATGTCATATGAGGGAAGTAGGGGTGGAGACAGTGGTGGTGAGAAGGGGTTTTGGATTTAGATGGTGACTTCAATGGGCCCTCATTGGTCTCTGCAACTGAGTGCCTGGGTTGGTTCCTGGAACTGTGACTGCTGGTTGCTCACAGTCCCATTTGCATTGTGGGTCATTGTGCGGGCACCCACCACGGGACCACTGGCCCTTTGCCTGACTCCTGGATCTTGTCAATCCATTAGACCTTTCTGGGTCTTTGCTTTTCCCACCAGGACACACAGGCACTTCTGGATCCCCTGCTCATAGCACATAGGCCAGGAGAGCCAGGAGGCCAGACCCTTTGGTCTAGACAATTTCTCTCTATCAAGTGCCATTGCTGGGCTGCTCCCCCACGTCTCCTCCCAGGGTCCCACAGAGAGAACAAAGCAAATGCTCTTGCTTTCAGGGTTCCCTTACATATTAAAGGCACCACCCCTTCTGCCTGCAAAGGGATGATCAGGGCTGAATCTTACTTCCTACCTCTGTCTCTCTTCTGTTTGCTACAAATCCGCCTTGGTCAAAAGAGATAGCCTGACCTCTCCTTACCCTTCTCCGTGATCTTCCAAAGTTACAAGGTCTTCCCTCAGGCCTTATCCTAAATTCTGTCTAACCCTGGCATTTGATAACTTCCATGGAATAAAGTCAACATAGTGCTAAAATAATTTAGAAAATTGTGGAGTCTTTTGACAAAGCCTGGGTTTCAGGAATATTTTCTTGCTGCAAACGCAAAACTCCTACTTAGAATATTAAAAACTGAATATTGAAACCCTTTTTATTTTTGCATTCTAGCTATGATATAATCCTAAGGCTTTGGGAAGAATAAGCAAAGGTCACATACTAAGAAATGCAAAAGAGAAAAATGCATCAATATATAAATATATAAATGTTCCTATTACAGTGCTGATATGGAGAAAACATATAAACTATAGCAAAATTCCACTAATTTGAACTGAATGGTAAAGTCAGCATAAATTAGCAAAATGTTTAAGTTTTGACAATACTAAAGAAAAGTAATATTAAAGTATGTAGAAAAGAAAATAAAGTATTGAAGATAAGAAAGAGACAACTATAATTTAATATTAAGATGAACTGGGTCCTAGATATTTTGTGTGTGTATGCATATATATAACATATATATGTTGATAAATGTAGATATACATATATGTTACACATACATGTAGATATATGTGTTAAGTACTTTACATATGTGAACTAATTTGTCTTAAAACTGATTTTCCAGAGGAGGAAACAACACAGAAAGATTGACTTGCCCAATGTCATATAGTTGGTAAATTGTTTTGCTAGGTTTGCCTGGCTTTGGAATCCTGATGGGTAACTTTCATAAAACTATCTTTAAAAAATAAATTCTATGAAAATACCTTTAACAAATAGATGAAAAAATGTAATTAATATATTTTATATAAAAATGGGAATCCTTGAAAATGTTTCATAACAAATACTTCATAAATTTCATAATGAAAAATTTAGCTACTGGTTTATCTAACTATTTAGAAAGTCTACCTTAGAAGGATTCGCCTTAATAAATTTTTACTGTATGATTTCCACAGAACTAAACATAATCTTTCCTTATGATATTTACCATTTTATCCACTTTCTCTAGGTTCTTTGTAATTACAAGATGTCAAAATATTTAGTCAATTCTCTAAAAATTAAAAAAAAAATAGTCAAAGGTCACAGACACTTAGCATCACTTAACCAAATAGCCACTTGAACTGATTGAATTGGCACAATGTAGAAAAATTCAGATTTTCGGACTCTTGATTTAATAGTAAGATATATAGAACTAAAATATGTATGTAAATTGCCTGCTTGACATAAAAGGCTTCATACTCAATTCAGGTGGATATCTTAGACTAAAAGTGACTTCTGAAAATTGGAACTATAAAGAAATAAAAATTGTATTTAAAATTTCTGAGACAGACAAAATGGCAGTAAAAGAATGATTTAAAAATATTTTACTAAACTTGGTGCCCAGATCTTGGTTTCTAATACCATTCTCCGATAAAAGAAACCCGGACTCCTTGGAGAAATGACTGATTCTAGGACGGGGGCAGGGAATACACATGATGAGCCTGGGGTATGCTGTATGCCAAAAAGTAAGAAATGCTTAAAACAACACAGCCCATATTCACGACGATAGGGGTATGACAAAGGGACACAGGCGGAACAATTTGAGCAACAAAATAAAGTAGTCGAGGTAATAAATATCCATGAATAGTACCGATGCAAATAAATGATTAAATAAATAAGGGAGAAGGAACAAATCTGCCATGCAGAAGATAATTTATGCAATAAATTTATGTAAAATATTCTACCTAAAGAGATGGAGGATAATTCTTTACTCCATAAACAGGGGCTCAAAAAGAGCTTTCCTTCCAAAGGGGACTGTGTGGAAAGAGAGAAAAGAGAGTAGCTTGATATCGGAGAAGCCTGGCAAGCACAGCCTCAGCCAGGTGATAGAGTTTAACACCAACAGTGATGAATCATGAGTACAGTATTTTGGATGTGATAGGATGAAAATGGCCTGTCGTCTTCCTCCCCAGAACCCTCAACCCCAGCTT